AAGCAGTATAACAGCTGTTTGCCTGGTCAGGTGTTTTTTTGCCTAACCAGGTTAGCGATGACAAAAACTAAACCACCAAATATATATCTCATATGTGATGGAAAGATTTTGTTTTCTTTTCCCCAAGAAATAAAATGGAGAAAGCCTCTTGAGTGGCATTCTTTGAAGTAGGAAAAAAACAAAAAACTAAACCACCCTTTCTTGAAGCCCTAATAAGACCCAAGCCCTGTGCTTGGGGCTTTAAATACAGGGGTGGACAAAGGTAGGTTTGTAGTTGTTCCAATGAAAAATGATACAATAATGAATAAATAATAATATGAGAATAAACTGTTTCACATATACTCACAACTGTAAAACTTCTTTTGCACACCCCTTTATATGTGTTCACTTAATCCTCAGACCAACCTTATGAGAGAGAGATCTTTACTCCATTTTACAGATACATAACTTAAGTCCTGGAGAAGTCTAATAGCTAATCAGAAGTGTCGAAGCATCTGTGATAGAGTCAGGAGTCAAATTTTCCTTCCTGAATTCAAAGCCTACAGCATGATGTGACGGCTTCCTCTGCTTAACTTGGGAAGACCCATAAAAAAGTCTGGCTTTAGAAAATGGTTTTGAATACAAATAAAGGACAATGGCATGCTGCTGGATGTCTGTCCAGATGGCCTGGGCCAGTGTTCTGTACAAAAAAGAATGTATAGTCCTAGCAATTGAGAGAAAGGAAAATAAAATGTATATATTTATACAATTTATAAATTTATATTTAAACACAGAAAGGGTCAATCTTCTCTAATAGAGATACAAATTGAAACTATAGCAAGATGCCATATTTCACCTATTTGATGCGCATGATGAGTTTGATATGGGGATGCTCATACACTGCTGGTGGGAGTGTAAATTGATACACCTCTTGGGAGGGAAATTTGATGAGTTCTGTCAATACATTCATGTACTCTGACTCAGCAATTTCCCTGTAGGAATCCCATGAGAAGTATGCAATTTGCAAGCAGACCCAAAGTTGCTTTTGCAAGTTTAGTCATTGTAATGCAGTTTTAATAATCAGAAGGTGAAAAATAAAGTCAAGTCCCATCAGTAGTGGACTAATTGATAAATCATGGCACATCCATGTAATGGAATATTATTACACAGCAGTCAAAAGTATGGAGAAACCTTTTTATGTGCTGATAAGGAAATATCTCCAAGATACATTAAACTAAAAAAAAAAAGCAAGAAGCAAACCATTGTGTATAGTATGTTCCTATTTATATATAAAAAAATGAAGGTATGAAAAACTATTACTAGTGTTGTGTGAACTATTTAGAAGGGATAAAAGACTGGGTGAAGAATTGAGGAAGAGAAGGGAGACTTCATTTTATACCTTTTTATATTTAAAAATTATGTGAATTACTTATTTGAGAAAAAAATTGTTTAAAACCTAATGAATATATGTGTATAAAAGAGGAAAAGAAAACCAAAGAATGTATGACCCTGCATTAGCAAAAATTCCCCAAAGAAAGAATGAACTCCATTAATTTGTTCAAGTGAGAAAAGTTACAATTAAGGCTATAAATACATGGAACTAATATTTATAGTGCAGAATGATATTTTGATACTTTGATATTTTAACACTGTCTACAAGTACGAGTGAGGTTTATATAGTAGTAGTCTATAATGTGAAACTGAGTGGAGTTAACAGAGCCTCAAAAATATGAACTCAAG